CACTCTTTCCTATCAAACAGCCCTGTTTTTAACTTGGTTTCCCGAAAACAACAGTATCTTTTTGCCGGGCGCTCCTACCCGGCAACTTCGCCAAATTGTTAAACGAGATACACGGTTTGTTTTACTACTGGTTTGATCTGACACAGTCATCTACTAGTAGGCTGTAGTATGTTGTAGTGATGAATGGCATCCGACCGTCAGATCTTTGATTGCTGAATCAATTCTTCTCTGCTTGAAGAACATCGTGCACATTACCATCCGTGCTCAAGTCTGTGTCAAAGGGGGACTCTCTGATATGATCTCCTACAGGCCGCATGCATGGTTTGCCATATAATTTGCCTCATCGTCCATCGTTTATCACATGGCGCAGGCTAGGCATATGAAATACGTTCACTCTTTCTAACTAAACCTGTTTGCGCCGTAGAGCAGGCATTGTGAGGCATTTTAAGCATAATAGCCACTCCTGAAATATTTAGATGCTTGTAGCCATTGATCATTGGCTTAGGTGAGACTGTTCCCCGTATTAAGTAAACATTTTTCTAAACCCTGCCGTGGTGATTTTTTCTGGCATTTATTTCGTTAATCTGGTCATTTGGTCAAGAACCATGAAAGTATCCGATGATCGCGCTTCGTCTACAATTTTTTTTAAATTTTTACAACTTCTAGAAGCGTCTGCTTCCTGTGTGGATGATACCGCATCCGCTGAGGATAAAGAGGACGAAGACTTCCCAACTGCTGAGGATACCGAACCACCAGCACAACCTACACAACAGATAGAGGTAGAACTCATGGCGCTTTGCAAACAACGTGATGCCCTGTTGCACCAGTTGGCGGAGGCCCGAGCTCGTGAGTTTCGTGAGTTTATTGCATACTAACAGCATACTCCCACGCTATCCTAGGCTCCACAGTTGTCCGTGGTCATCCGCTTCATAATCGTGACTTGCCATTTTCACTCCCAGACTTTTATCTACTCTCATTTGCACTGTCCATTTGGCCGACATTATGTCCTGTCAGTCCGTACGCTGTGAATGTCAAATGATACTGGTATCATCTTACCTTGTCTACTCAGCTGAAGTCAGAGCTAGAAGAAGTACCGTACGTAACTAAGAAAACCTGTGAGAGCGTTACCTTTGTCTTTGTTCTCCATCAATGCCTCCAGTTTTTGCGTCATGTTAGTACTGGTGCATCGAATTGTTTTCAGTCCCGTCAGTGTATAGGCTGCTCCGAGAATGGGGGTCATTCTGTTAAATCGACTAACGCTTCAACTTCATAAAAAGACGAGACAGTTATTCCACCGTCTGCGGTTCAGCGAAACTGTTTTATACGTAGCAGCCACCAGCATTTTCCCGACTCGACCTACGGTAGAAACTAGGTGCCTATTGCCGACCATTTCATGTTCTAAGTCCTCTCTAGTTATGAGAGGGCCATCAACTTTGCCGTGCCTCGAGTATATTGGGCTTTTAAAGCCAGGTTGGTCATCAGGCTCTAAGTCATCTTATGCATCTTTCCTTGTCCTATCGTTGAGGTGCAATAGCTTTGGAGAGAGCAGAATGTTGCCATTGCGTGATTCCACCTCATTCTAATCCAGTTCACGTGCAATTCGCCAATATTTGTCGGGGTAGTAATGGCCATCTTTATATTCGATGAACCAACTATAAAAGTGCGACCTAGGTTGGTGACGACATGTTTTTTGATTACGTTTTGGCACTTTCACACAACCACCGAGTAGCACAACCCAGAAGTGACCTTTTTACCAACTTAAATGTAGTAAACTATCTTTTTTAATACGACGTTATGTCCAATTAATGGTCCACCGTAGTGTGCACATCGTCTGTGTTCGACCGGTACTGTTTTTCACACTAGGCTCTACCTCCAAAAGCGTAAAACGAAAAACGACTCTTCTTAGTCGCTTCTACCAAAGAGAGATAATGAACCTAAACTGTTCATCAAGCCAACTGATTCATATTTTCAAAAAGCTTTCCCTGCCCGAACCATCGTTGAAGTTACTTTTGCAGTTGATGGATAAGCGATACCACGAATTCCATAGATAAACCTTTGCGTCTGACTGGGTCACCGCTCAGTCCGAATCCCTGTCGATGCCGGCGGGGGATTTTCTTCAA